AAACCATTCATTACATGAAGACATTGACCACACAATGCATACCTTCAATGTGCAGATAATTGGCCGCTTCCAAGAGCGCGAAGAAGGCCTCCCTTTCCATATCGAAGTACTTCGTATCCCAAGCGGTCATCTCATCCACACATTTAGCGCACGTCTCGTCGTCATCGCTGTCTGAATCCGAGTCCTTCTGGTCGTTGCAGTGATACTCAACCCATTCCTCCACTTTCTTCAGAGTCGCCGACGATATCTGCTGCAGAGGAATGGCTTTGTCCGTCTCCTCGGGAATCGCTTCAATCATGTCTTCAGATATGGTTTACAAACAAAAGGAAAATGTGAGCAAAACGTGAGACACAACTCGCGAGTCATAAGACAAACCCTTAAGAGTGTTGGACATCATAGCCTTCTCTTTTGCCCACTCATGGATGTCTCCGTCAGTGGTCTGGAGTCTGATTAAAGACATGATCACAGGAATGGTGTGACTCGTGAGTGAATGGTGTGATAGTGTGTGAAATGAGCGCCAATTGTGAAGTGAGTGTCGTTTGAATTGAATGCCAGAAGTGGTGCCAAACATGAGTAGAGGTCTCCACAGTCCACACGTGTTGTGCACACATTGAGTCACTCATTGAGTCACTGAAACAGTATTGCTGTCAAAGAGGTGACCATCAAAGTGATCATAATTTGGACGCATTATCTCAACAAGTGATTAGTCTTGAGATGAGGATAATTGGATTAGTGAGCGGTGGGAAGGACTCGACGTACTCGATGTGTCTTTGCGCCAACGATGGCCACGAATTGGTAGGTTTGGCTAATTTGGTGCCGCAATCGGCTCACGAGGAAGACTCATATATGTATCAAACGGTTGGCCACGAGTTCATCGACTTGTACACCGAGGCCATGGGTTTGCCACTGTTTCGGCGAACCATATCCGGGAAGCCGTTGAGTACAGACATGGCATACGAGGAGCGCACCGACGATGAAGTGGAGGATCTCTTCCAACTGTTGTCGCAGATCAAGGAGAAGGTGGCCTTCGATGGCATATCCGTCGGCGCCATCCACTCGACGTACCAGAAGGTGAGAGTGGAGAACGTGTGCCAACGCCTCCACATCCAGATGTTGGCTCCCATTTGGGCCAAAGAGCAGACATCGCTCCTCAAGAGTATGATTGACTACAATATGAACGCCATTATAGTGAAGGTAGCGGTTCTCGGCTTAGAGGCCAAGCATTTGGGCTCAACTATAGACCAAATGCTGCCACTTCTCGAAGAGTTGAACCACAAGTTTGGGATCAATGTGTGCGGCGAAGGCGGCGAATACGAGACAATCACTTTGGACTGTCCCCTCTTCCGCAAGAAAATTGTTTTGTAAGACATTGTTATGTCATGTCTTTTGGACTGAGTTTTACTAATGAATGGATTGTATTTCAGAGACGACTTCGAGGTTATCACTCATTCGGATGACGCGATCGCAAAGGTTTCATACCTGAAGCCAATTAAACTGCATTTGGAGGACAAGAATTGATACGTTTTGCACTTTATATGAGTTTTATATAAATTGTTTAAAAGTTGACATTTTGTTAGGAATTGACGATTAGTTTAATCATGTATTTTATATTTTAATTAAATATTTATCTTTTATACGGTATACCGATGTTCACTCAAATAAATGGTTTATTGAATCACTATAAATGATGCGTTGATATGCTTTTGTAGTTTACTTTCAAATGATTTACTAAATTACATCCATATATGAGAGTTGGATGTGTGGGTCAATGTTGGCCACATGTGGTCATTAATCACATGAATATGAATACGAGTCTTAATTGAATTTTAATTGTCATTCTCATGTAAGAATTATGGGTTTGTTATAGATTGGTGACATTAATTAACCATGCCTCTCTGTCCTATCTATAATATGTTAGTGATTGATTGAAATCAAAATAGCTTTAGTTGCAATCATAATAAATGTACCTGTATCACATTAGTTATGAAATTGAAATTGAAAACCTCTGAAAACTTTGAAGGGAAGCCTTTTAAAGTTGAAAGGGATAGACGTGTTGTTGTGTGGAGTCATAGCAACAGTTTTGAGCACATGTTTCGTTTGTTTTGCATAACACTTGACATGAGATCTGATAGCAATTGAGTGATAGATCAGTGAATTGTGTGAACAATGAGTGAACCGACAGTTAATTCAGATTTACTTCTTTGCGAGAATCAGTTCTACACGAAAGCCAATGAAGTCAAGTCACTGTTGATCACCAAAAAGGCACAGAAAGAGGCCATCACTGCGTCCAAGGATGGCCTCAAAACCCAGAGGATAGCATCGAGTGGTAAACCATTGAATCCATGAGTTGTTTCAATCATTGAATGTATGTCTGTATTGACACGAATGTAGTGCTGAGTCGAGCCAAAGAGTTTTTGGACAAAACCAAAGACACGCCAATTGAGACACAAACGTGTGATTTAGTTGATGACAA